AAAAAGTACTAGATAGTATATAAATGAAAAGGCCTTTACATTATATATAATATAAAAAAGTAGAGAAAAGTTAGTAATCTAGCTTATTTATACTATAAAGAGTATAATTAGGATTATTATTATAAATATTATATATTTAAAAAAATTTAGAAATATAGAAGGAGACCTTGTTATAATAATTACAAGTAATATCTATAGTATAAGAATAACGAAAAAATCTAGTAAAAATACTATAATAATAAAAAATATATAATATATAGAAAATATTAGAAATAAATTAATAGATAAAATATTAAAATAATAAATATAACGAATATTATACTATATAAAAAATTAGAAATTATATACGAGAATAATAAGCAGAAGGTAAAAATTCTATATTGAAGATATATAATGGAATTTATAAATAATATAGCTATATAATATTAGTTAGAGATAATTGAGTTATTATAAAAGATATTATAAATATAGAAATAATGGAAGTAATAAGAAAATAAGTAGTAATAAAAAGAATCCTTATTAGATAAATCTAAATAAAAGGAAATATATAAATCTATAGAAGAGATTTAAAGAAAAACTTATAATTAATAATACTAAGGTAAATTAGTTAACGAACTAATAAGGAAGAAGTAAAATTTAGCTATAATATATAGAAATTATCTAGTAATAATAGTAAATTTAGTAAAAATATATATATAAGCTCTAATTAATTTAGAAGTTACTGGAAACTTTATCGACTTATAATATACAAATAAATTGGAAATTACTATATAAAAGAAAGAAAAACTATATTAGTTAGAAGAACTTAAAAAAGAGTAAACTAGTATTATAAATAAAGAAACTACTAGTATAAAGGTATATATTAGAGAATAATATAGAGGAACAAAATATTTTAATATAACTAATCTAGAAGAATATAATATTATTTTAGCACTTCTATAATTATAAAAATATAACCTAATAGTAAACTAGAGAAATAATATATTATAACTAGATAGTAGAAAGAGAAGCTACTCCAACTAGAATTTAAATACTTTAGTAGCTATCGATAAAAGTAAGAATAGAGATTATATATTAAGTATAACGCCCTAAGTTAAAAAAAGTATTAAGAAAATTATAAGAGATTAATTACTATAGAGAAAATAAAGAATAGTTTACCTAGAGTAGAATACTACTAAATTAGAAAAGTTATAATAATAAATACTCTAGAAATACTATAATTTAATTAAAGTATTTAGAGAACGAGAATTATTAGAAAGCTTACTAGAATATTAGATATAGAATTCCAAAATACTCCTTAAGAAAAGGATAGAGTCTATATATAACCTAATATATAGATTAATAGAAAAAGAATTAGAAAAATTATAAATATATATAATATATACCAAATAATTAAAAATAATTCAATCGTATTTAAAAATAATTAAAAAGCTCCAATATTTAACAGATAACTTTGCTAGCTCTAGGAGAAAATTAAATTTTCAAACTTTCGACTTATCTAGTAAAATTTATAAGGATAACTTTTTTACAAATTTTTACTATTAAAAATATTATAGTATCTAGATAATAACTAGTTATTAAAATTTAAAAATATATCCCGAGTATATATTCTAAATATATAAGATAATAATTACTAGAATATATAGATTTTTATAGACTTTCTCTATATTCTTTTACTAGTAACTAAGATTATGAAGCTACTTTTACCAATTTTTGAATTATTAAATTAAGTTATTTATTAATATAATAATATTAGAGATTATACTATTTATTTCTATTTTCTACTACTAGTTAATACTCTCTATAATTAGGTACTGGATATTATTAAAGGTATTGACTAGCTAAGACCATAGTTAGAATAATTAAACTTTATAGCTAATATTTTTCATTTTTTATTCATTAAATATATAGATATTAATAAGTATAGCGAGTTTAAAAGTATATTTTAGAATATATAACTACTAATATAAATTATTTATATTTTTTTTCTCTATAACTAATAGTTAGTTATAGTAGCTAAAAGTAAGAATTTTATCTCTTTATTTTTATAATACCAAAATAGTTACTAAAGCTATATTAGCTATATTAATATTTTAAAAATTAGTAGTATTACTTATTATATACTTACTTAGAGTAAATAATACTAGTAAGATTTTATACTTCTTTTTATTTTTAATACTTAGTAATAATAGTAATAAAGTAGCCAAAGTTTAAAAATCAATAAATAAAAGTAAAATTAATAAAATATTAGAAGAAATCTAGCTAGAAATAATATTAAAGCTTATATATACTTTAATTACTAGATTATTAATAAAAGTAATATTATTTATTAATTTATATAGATAAGATAAATTATATTTATTTAATAATAATATAAAGAATAATTAAAGTAGAGTATTAAATTTAAAGTTAAAGATATTTTTTTTAGAAAAGATACTATTTTTATAATTAATAATAAGGGAGTAATTATAGAAAATATATAGTATAATATAATTAACTACTATTTATAAGCTCTTATTAGAGTTAGAGTAATATATTTACATATTCTACTTACTAATAATAATAATAGATTAAATATTCTTAAAGTTAGAGCTATAGATTTTTAATCTAATAGTAGTTTTAGCTTTAATTTAAATAAAGAAAATATATTTAAGATATACTTTTCTCTAAAGAAATAATATAATTAGACCTTATAATATTTTAATCAGTATCTTATATATATTAATATTATAGGGTACTATTAATTAGAGTTTTAGTAAAACTATAATGATTTCTATATCTAGTATTAATATAATTAAGAGGTAGTCTAGTAATAATATTTATAGACTTATCCAATTATTATTTTTATTATTACTATTAAAGAAGTTTTTTTTAATATTTATATTAGATAATTCTATATATATATTATTATGATTTGATAATATATTTTAAATATCTAATATTAAAAGTTATAAATTAATATCTACTAAATTAATTAGTATAAATATAGTTTATAAAATATTAGTAATGGAGTAATTTAATAATAATATTTAAATAAATATTAAATATTTTCTTCTATATTAAGTAATATTCTATTATTAAAATAAAGGAGCTAGTAATACTATCCAGTATATATTTATTCATTATAATAAGTAAATCTACTATTTAATATATATATTAAGGGGGGTCTAACGATAGCTTTATACTTATATCTAATACTATATTAAAACTAGAATTTACTAAAAAGGTAGTAGAGAAGCTTAAAATACTATAAATTTTATTAGTAGTCTATTTTTAATATTTTTTTATACTATAGTATAAATATTATAAGGAAGATATACATAGAGATAATCTATATATTTTATTTAATAATTTAGTAATTCTACTAATTTAACCAATAATAGAAAATTTAATATAGTAATATTATTTTTAGTAAGTTTCAAATTATCAATTATATCTTAAAATATATATTCTAAGAGGCTACTACTAAACTATTATTATAGTTATTATTATTATTATAGTACTTATAATATTCATAATTATTATAATAATCCATATTATAGATATTTTTATAAAATTAATATTAAATTATTTATATATAAGTTATGAAATATATAAATATTATAATTTATATAATTTATATAATAATTATAGTATTTATAATTATTATAAGAATATATATAAATTAATAATTAGTAATAATTATTTAAATAATTAAATAAAGTTTATATAAAAAGTAAATAAATATACTTTATTTAGTATATTATTAATTTAAAAATAAAAATTTATAAGATTCTTTTATTCCAATATATAATAAATAACTTTGCTAATTATAGGAGGAAGTTAAATTTTCCAACTTATCCAGTATTATATTTTTAGTTTAATTTTTCTAATTCTTTTAATTTTATTTTCAAAGATTTTTTTTTGTGAGGGCTTAATTATTCTTTTAATAAGAGCTTAGTCATCCTTTTAATAAGGGCTTAGTTATTCTTTTAATAAAGGCTTAGTTATTCTTTTTTAATAAAGGCTTAATCATCCTTACTAAAGTACTAAAAGAAGCTAGAAAAAAAGCTAAAAAAGAAGCTAAAAAAGAAGCTAAAAAACCTTATTAATAATAATTTTGGTGAGGGCTTAGTCATCCTTGCCAAGCCACTAGATATACACTGTTCTAGTAACCAATTAGAAGCGAGAATTTCAACCAATCAGCTATTTTATAGCTATTTTTCAAGAACCCACAGATTTGAGAATTTCAACCGATTATTTAAACTATTTAAAATACAATAAGTCTTCGCTAACGCTCCGACAATAATAAAGAATAATAAGAATAATAATAATAATAGCTAATAGATCTTTAAGCGAAACAATAAAGAAGATAGTGGCGGCGATATATACTATATTTAATACGCTAGCCAAACGTTGGCTCCAACAATATATCACTTGCACGCTGAGGTAAGCGATAATCTAGTTAACCTTAATAAGAGATTACTAAGTAGAACGATACATATCCCACCCGGAGTATTGTTGAGGACCCTGGCGAGCGATCGAGTTAGGCCCGAGACTATCGACTTTTGCCAACGCTGTCTCCCAGGGATTGGTGAAGTATATAACGCATGCCGCTAACTACGAGGATAGCATGATCGACCGGTACAGGAGCCGATCTCTCGTTACCAGCCTATCTAGATAACTAACATTGGCACCACAAATTGCTGGCCCGTCGAGTTGGGAATGCGAAGAACAACAACAATAATAATGGCGGGATGGAAGGATGGGCTGGTGGCGCGACTCGAGGGCAACTAGGCTGGCTTTCCCAGGTCTTCCCAGCCAGAGGTTTCTAGAGACGTACTGCGTACAGAGAGTCACTACTCCGTACTCCGTACACTGGGAGCCTTCTTCCGAGGAGGCGCATCTTGCGCTGGAACTCGACTTGCGTTGTGCCCGCCTTGCTCTTCGGGCCGGAGCAGAGCAGCGTGGACACTGCAGGGCGTCCATGTCCATGTCCCTGGCTGGCCTCGCCGTCCCAGCCGTCCCAGCCATCATCACTCTGGCTCTCCTCTGGCTCTCCTCTGGCTCTCCTCTGGCTCTCCTCTGGCGCTCTCTCTCCGTCGTCTTTCCCTGGCTGGTTCACGTGAGCGAGCCTGCCCAGCGCCTCTCGGCCCAAAAGGGAAAGGCCGGCGGGAATCTGGGAAGAAGCTTGCAGCAAAGCGGACGGCGCAGGCGGCTTCTGCTGCCCGCCTCTTCCGCGGCTTATCTTCTGCTTCTCCTCCTCCTCCTGCTTCTTGCTGCTGCTTCGGTCTCTCTACCTCACCTTCGCCATCACCTTCGGCTCTCCTGCTTGCACCTCTCTCCCCCTCCGTCTCTCTCTCGCACGCGTTGCTCGCGTTGCTCTTGTTGTCGGCTTGGTAAGTAAGCTCCCCGGCGCTGTGTCTTCCGATGACGTATCCGCCAGATTCCGGATGAGAGGAACAGCCTTCACGCGTTGCTGTGGTGCTTCAATTGGACGCCGTCCAGCCATTCAACTTCATTCTATGCCAGCAGAAATACCCGGACAATATACTGACGAGCGCATTGATAGTATCCTTATCTTCTGCTAGCTATAGATCAAGTCGTCGGACTGGTGGTTCCCCAGTAGCGCAAGTCTCGATTCGTATGTTATTCATCCAGGGACCTTGTCTTTTACATGGCTTTGGCTTGACTGACATGGCTCGCAGTGTTGCATACAGAGTACCTTACTCTACCTTTATAATGGCTGCTATCATATCTCTCAGGGATGTACACGCCGCATCTCACCAGCTAACCAAGCGAAAGAACTGGGCAGCCAGAGAACCCGGGGTTGTCCTGGTTTCTGCATCATCTTCGTTATCGCAGTCGGCGTGCTGTCCACATACCTCTACCGCAGGATGCAACGCCGTAAAGCTGCTGCTGGCACAGCCTAGGGTCTAGCAGCAGGGTCTTGCTGCGATCATTAGCAACTGCAGTGTTCAAAGCCAGATTCACGGATACCCGTACACAACACGCGCACACATGCACAGATTTCCCACCCGACTGGGGCACAATCAACACACGATATACGCTCTCTTTTTCTGTTCTGATGATACTTGATAGATGGTATTCATGCTTCTTGAATAATACGACTGTGGATGGACATTGCTTTTGTTGTTGCCGAAGGGGTTGCTGGGCGATGTGGAAGGCTGGAGTAGCAGCAGAAGAAGCCCGTAGAGTAAAGAGAGTGCCTCAGAGCAACAGAGGGCCGATGTTTTCTTGACAATCTTTTCTGTTGCTGTTGATGCTGTGGATGTCCCCGTCTCGATGATGCGCTTCCCCGGACTTTTCCTTGTGTCCCCGCCTTGGCAGAGGAGCCGGGGAAAGAAAAAGGGGCCTCGAGCTCGCGATGTTTGTTTCATCCTCGTCAACTCCTCTCCCTTCTCGCGCTTCTTGCTTGCCTTTCTTAATATACTACTAGCAATGCAGTCATTCGTTTAGTCCCTCGCTTTTCTCTTTTTGGTTTACTTATCCAACTTCATTCACTCCTTAAAATCATAGTAGCCAGAGGAAAGCGGCAGAGCGCAAAAAAAAAAAAAAAAAAATAATGGACAACTACGCTCCCTCACACCCCGTCTCGCCAATCTCGCAGCCTCCGTCCTCTCCTTCATCTCCTTCAAGCCTCAAACGCTACGAGCTGGGACTCGACCTCTCTGACAAAGCCATTGAGACCGCTGCTCATCCCAAACCAACAGCACCGCATCTCTCGCTCATAGAAGTGCCAAGGCGCAAACCCGTACCACCGCCGAAAGCTGTGTTTGCCGATCAGACAGAGCCTCATGTCGAAGCTCCACCAGCTGGCCAGAGTGGCGGCGGGCTGAAGGGGAAGATAAGAGACCTCTGGCTCTTTAAGCGGAGGATGGTGCTCACCGTCGCTGCGGTGGTAGCTGTTTTGTTGCTGGGGTTGATTATTGGGTTGGCCGTTGGGCTGACCAGGCACAAGTTCGTATAATAGCCGTCCATCGTCTATTTCTCACCACTTCAAGTCTAACATATATACACTGCTTTTATACATGAAGGAGTGCCAATCTACCGCTGCCAACGAATAATGGAGGGCCTTATCGGGGCGACCTTACATACTACGATCCGGCGCTGGGCGCTTGTGGTATAGCCAGTTCACCGTCTCAAGCTGTGTGTGCAGTTTCCAAAAACCTATATGATGCTGCTAGTGTTGGACCAAATCCGAACGCCAACCCATTATGTGGGCTGAAGATTCGGCTCAGGCGCAATAACAAATCTGTAGACGTTACCGTCGTCGATAGATGTGAGTTTGTTAGAGCTATCCTTGGTATTCACGGCCAAATTGCTAACCAGATACGGGTATTGGCCAGGCGTTGGGTGTAAACCGACAGATATCGACGTTTCTAGAGCTGTATTTGAACAGCTTGCCCTTGTTGATCAAGGAAGAGTCGACGTTGAATGGGCCTGGCTTGACAAGACGCCGGTGAACCCTTAGATGTATATGAACAGCTTCCAGGATTACTTTCCATTGTTCTGTTAATAGTCTGGAAACTGGGGGTCGACATCTCTTCTCCATGAGTCCAGACCGCCCTGGATATCGCCAATGAAACGTTTGCCACCTTGACCGAGGCCGAGCTGCTTGAGTATTTTCACTGCAGTCTGAGAGTCGTTGCCCTGGCGGCAAACTACGTGGATAGGGGTTGCGGTATCAGTGTTGATGATACTGGCAGGAACCCATGCCGGAAGCTCCCCATTTGTTGCTTCAGATGATCTAGATGATCTCAAAACTTCCGATATGGGTACGCAAACGCTTCCAGGCAATGCACATATATCATACTGGATCCGTTCGCGTACATCGAGCAGGATACCCTTGTCATTGTTGCTGTGACTGTCAAGCCATATCTTGTAATCTCTAGCACTGAGCCGCTCATTTGGCATCAGACTAGATACTGGGTTGAGCGAGCCACAGAATTGGACATAATCCATGGATCCGTTCTTGAGGGACTCGATGGATATCGATGGTTCTGTTCCGCACGCAGCACAGTTCTGCCGCCGAGGACGCAGCCGAATAGTACGAAACGGAGGGGTGGAATAGGCAGAGAACAGATGGAGAGACGGAACAATGGCTCCAGTGCTCGGCGTGGTGTTCTCAGACATGCTGGTTATCACCCGTATCGTTTCAAGTGCTTGCAGAACTCCCATGATACCCACCACTGGCCCGATAATCCCGCCATCCGCACAGCTTGTGACGCTATCCGCTGGAGGCGGAGTGGGAAACACACACCGGTAACATGGACCTCCTGATTTATCCCCCGGCAAACGGGGAGGATAGTTGAGTATCATCAGCTGTCCTTCTGTTCGCAACGCCGAAGCAGACACGACCGGTTTCCCAAGGACTACTGCAGTGTCTGAGATAAGGTATCGAGTTGCTGGGTTATCGGTGCAGTCTAGTATGACATCAAACAGGGCGAAGATATCTGGTGCGTTTTGCGGTGAGAGCTGAGTTCGATAGGGTATGTAGGTCGGGTGAGGGTTCAGTCTAGCACAGGCACGCCGGAGTATGTCAGTTATGGGTCTCATGAAGAATAGCAGACAGGTATACAGTATCAAACAACTTACTCTTGTAGATACTCGATTGCACTATCAACCTTATACTTGCCTGTATTTCTCGTCCGGTGTAGGACCTGGCGGTGCAGATTTGAGCTCTCAACCTGGTCGCCGTCGATGATGCCCAGCCTTCCAACTCCTGCGCCGGCAAGATATAAAGCTGCTGGACAGCCTAGCCCGCCTGCTCCGACGATGAGCACGGCTGATTTCCGCAGTCGAATCTGGCCTATAGTTATACCGTAGCAGTCGCCTGGTTAGATCTGCTCACCTGGATCTGGCGTGGATGGATTTTACTCAAACTTACCCGGCAGCCCGACCTGCTCGACTATCATCTGTCTTCCGTATCTTCTATATTCATCCTGGAGTAGCGGCCAGTCGGCTGATCTCTCTCTTGTTGCTTCTGGCTGCTGCGGTGCGGGCTGCTTCGTCTCTAGATCTGCGAGCTCCTGCTTCAGCTGGCTGAGCTGCCGCTCTGTAGCAGCTATCTGCGCCTCAAGCTGTCGGCGCAGCTTCTCTCTCTTCTCCATGACGGGGAAATGCAGTCTAGATACTCGGTAAACAGCGTGCTAGACGGCTATCTTGTCGTTCGTCTGTGTAAAAACTACGGGCAGACGAAGATTATCCCACTTCACGGTGCAAACAGAGCAAACATCGACACCCGAAATATTTTTGGTGCTCAAAAAAAAATTGAGGAATTGAATACATTAAATTCTACAACTGAACAAGCCGGATACCAGATCTCATTATTATGGTAGGCCATTCTAGGCTATTCCCTGGGAAAATGGGCGTGCAAGCTGATATATAATGCGTCTACCTGTCTACTAGGCTCCTGTCCGTCCCAGTTCCAAGGCCAAAAAGGCCGTCAAGACCAAGTCGCATCCAGCCGTCGCAAAGGCCAAACCAACGAGCAGCTCGAACGACAGCCTAGCCTCCGAGTTCCCCAGCTCTAAAAAGGACAAACGGCTGATAAAGCACTCCTCGTTCATCTCAAAGATCGAAAAGTCTCGCAAGAAGCCACTGAAGCGACGACGGCCGTCGAAGAAACTGATCGCCAACCTAGACTCTCTTGCCAATGCGCTCCCTGACGCCGGAGACGGTGACGAACCCGTGTCGACACATACTATCGATGGAAACACTCAGGTCAACGTGATTAGGCACAAGAGTCTGAAGCATCGGCCCGGGGCCACGAAGAGGAAGGAGAAGCTTGATCGGATGGAGCGTGACCGGTTTGCGAAGAACATGGGACAGCTGGCTGCGGGAATCAAGACCACTGACACGGATAATACGGCCATGGATGCTCAGCCGTCTGTCGAGAGTGGCGTTGATGCTTCTGCTGCTGCAGGAGGAGACTCCAGCTCTACATCGGCTCGCTGGGCTGCCCTACGAAGCTTCATTTCCCAGACCATGGACCAGAACCCGGAATTCAAGGGCGTCAAATCGTGAAATTTGGCTCAAGTTGTAGAATGAAACGGGAAGAGGGCTAAAAAGAAGAAAAATTCTATCCGGTCAGGTGGTAAACATCACATCCACCCATCATATTGTCTTGCAGACGGCGGCCACGGATCTAGCCGAGATGGAAGAGAGCTGAAGGGGCTGAGAGACGGTGCCCTGCAAGCAAGGGGCGATCAAGGCGACGCCACGAGAAGCTTGGAGGTCGGGTATCCGAGGCATCGGGCTCTGCCAGGGACAGGCGCACAAGGCAGAGAGACAAGGAAGACGGGCCGGCCGAAGGTCGAGGCTGTCGATGCTGAGCAGAGTCTTAAGCCGGTGAAATGTTGATATTGCTATATTGCTTTAATATTGAATGCCTAGCCGGCCGCCTCGGCCCCGTCACAGTCAAAGTCAATCAATGCACAGTCAAAACAGTGAGCCATCGCTGCACCCGAGGTCTCTGGGTTGCCTCAGCGACACAGTTGATGGCGTGGGATAGAGAACCTCCCAGTGTGCAGCACAAGTAGCAACTCCAGTTCAGGGCCAGACAACAGAATGTAAGGCATCAGATAACGCTTGTAGATGGGGCCCTCCTTGCAGGTACCCTGTAGGATGTCGGTAGCCCCCTAAGACCCCCTAAGACCCCCTAAGACCCCCCCAAGACCTCCCGACGCCCCATATAGACCCCACGGCCGCCAGCTAGAGCCCGAGAGGGAGAGGCCGGCCGAGGTCGCGGGGAGCAAAGAAGCGCAAAGAGCGGCAGCTGGCTTTTTTTCTCTGCAGTTTTTTCCCCTTCTGCTGGCCGTTAGTTATCGCCGTCTGCCTGCCTCTCCCTCTCCCTGATGACGTGCAGCTTGCGGTGCATCTTGACTTCTGCTGCTCCCAGGCGCCTCTTAACCCCCCACCACCGCCGCCCCCAAGTCGCCTTTGTCCCAGCAGCCAGCACTCTCGTCCTCACGCAGATTCCAGCATCGACTCGCAGACACACGATGACAAGACTCTCTCCGTACGCAAAGAAGCACAAGGTGACCGTCATCGGGTCGGGGAACTGGTGCGTCGCTGTCCCTGTCGTCCTCCCCTGCTGGAGGCACGCGATATCTCACTCACACGCAGACTGACCAACGATGGCTCTAGGGGCTCCTCGATCTCGAAGATGGTCGCCGAAAACACGGCCGCTAACCCAGATCTGTTCGAGAAGGAGGTGAATATGTGGGTGTACGAGGAGAAGATCGAGATCCCCAAGTCGTCGAGGCACTACAGCGAGTCCTCGCCTCTGTGCAAGGGCGAGCAGAACCTGACGGAGGTCATCAACCAACTGCACGAGAACATCAAGTACCTGCCAGACATCACTCTGCCCGACAACCTGCGCGCCAACCCGTCCCTGGTCGACTCGGTCAAGGATTCCTCCATACTGGTCTTCAATCTGCCCCATCAGTTTATCAACGGGGTCTGCAAGAGCCTCAAGGGCCATATCCTTCCCTACGCCCGTGGAATATCCTGCATAAAGGGGGTGCATGTCGACGAGGAGGGCGTCAGCCTGTTCTCGGAGAGCATTGGCAAGCAGCTGGGCATCTACTGCGGTGCCTTGTCGGGAGCCAATATCGCCTCCGAGGTTGCAAAGGAGCTCTACTCCGAGACCACAGTTGCCTATGACCCCCCTCACATGGACTCCAAGGCGCCCACGCCGCTCAACGGGTCGCCGTCTTCTTCTGCCGTCGACCTGGCCGAGTTCAAGCACAAGGATAGCTCGGGGAAGCTTTCCAAAGTCAACCTACGCCCCATGCCTTCTGACTTCCCACCGGTAGACCATTCTCTGTTGAAGACCCTCTTCCACCGGCCTTACTTCCATGTCAGAGTCGTCCATGATGTTGCCGGTGTCTCCCTCGGTGGTGCATTGAAGAACATAGTCGCTCTCGCTGCTGGATACGTCGACGGTCTCGGTTGGGGAGACAA